CGTGCTGGTTTCATCTTGCACTCGGCAGCGGCGTTGGCACTGCTGAACGTGAGGAATGCCACTGTCTCCCACACACCACTGGCGCCCAAGGACTGTTCAGGCCTGTCCATGTTGGTGATTTGGGAAGGGCCTCCGTTGGGAGGGAAGGCTCTCTCCTGTTCCATGCGATTGGTTGTCACCAGGGCAAAGGGAGGGAAATAAAACTAGTGGAAAATGCGGCATCTGTTGAGTTTGAACAGGCCCTGGGAGTTGGTGATGGACAGGGAAGCCTGGTGTGCTGGAGTCCATGGGGTTGCAAAGAGTCGGACATGACTTGAGTGGCTGAACTGACTGACTGATGTGTCCTCAAGAATGCTTTTCTACAGCCCGAGACACCTAGTTCATTAGTTTGTTGTTGTTCAGTCGCTCAGTAGCATCTGACTCTGCGATCCCTTGGAACTGCAGCATGCCAGGCCTCCCTGTCCTTCACTATCTCCTGGAGGTTGCTCAAACTCGTGTCCATTGAGTTGGTGATGCCATCCAACCATCTCATCCATTTGTTGCCCCCTTTTCCTGCCTTCAGTCTTTCCCAGCATCAGGGTCTTTTCCAATGAGTGGGCTCTTAAACAGTATGAATAGTTCATTGGTGTTCCTGTAAAACGCTGATTCCTCCTTTTTTTTTTTTTTTTCTGAAACAAGACACATCGTGGCTTTACCATCACTTTTAGAGCCTTCTGCTGTTCTTTCTTGTCTTCTTTCTCTCTAAGTAATACTGATTTCTTTTGATGAAAAGTGATTCAGCTAAGTGAAAAACTGGTGTTGGCTTACAGTGGAGGAATCTAAAATTCACCCAGCTTTAAGAGTATACTTGGCTCTCCACACGTGTACACTGATTACAGCAGGATTCAAAACCAGAAAACATTCCTCATTCAGGTATACAAATCTGTCTGTAAGGTGAAATCAAATAAGAATTTATATGTAAACTTGATAAGGATTACGCTCTGCTAATTTGTGTTTTGTTTAATGGTCACCATATATGACCTCTATATTGTGTGTGTGTCTGTGAGTTCCATTATGTTTTAGTTTATTGACCTGTATGATGTACGTTATCAAGGACTTTTCAAAGAACGATTTGCCAAATTTGGTACTTCCTAGCAGTTGTCATTTCCTGCTGAAATTCTTTAAAATGGGATCTAACAGAAGTATAAATATTGACCTTGAGTATTTAATAAAGGAATAGTTGATTTTAGGATTGTTGAAATAATTAATATTTTGCTTTAAAATGCTTTTTAGACTTTCACTGTTAATTGAGCCTATTACTCAAAGTAGAAAAGGTGAACTTCAGAAGTTTCTTGGGTAAAGCTTCCACATCCCCTATGTTTAAATATTTTAAAAGGAAATGGACTGAATCATAGATATTGTACTATAGAATAGGAAATCCTTGCATTGTTATTTTTAAAAAACCTTGTGTCTTTGTAAAATTTACTTTTTAAAACTCCCATTGCAAAACTTTAATCAGTTGTAATGATTAATACATTTGAGTAATAAGCTTTCTTCAATATTAAAAAAAAATCAGTGATAAATTCACTCAGTGTGTTACAAAGGAATACCTGTACTTCCTACTGCATACGTCTAGTATTTTTCTTTTTAAAATATTCTGGGGTGTACTTTGAGAAAGGTGTTGTTTGAGAAAGCCATCACAGTGCTTTTTAGAAACTTCACGTTACACTTGTATGCGTGAAACAAATGATACTTTGCATCTCAGGATATGGAAAGCAAACTACCATGTTTTGCCAAAGAAACATTGAAAGGACTTAGAAAAGATTTTTTTTTCCCCTCCGTCAAACTAAAGTGAAGAAATAAGAGTGGTAGAAACAATTTTATATGTAGTATTTGCCAGTCCAGTAATATAACAACTGTTGTGTCCACATTTCAATCACAGTTAGGTGAAATCTTTAATTATCACTTAATTTAACTTTCATATTTGCTTGCAGAAATGATCATGTTGATAAGATTCTGGGAGAAGATAAACTTTTATTAAGCAATTCCATCTTTGGTTGCCAACTTTAACTTTTTTTTTTAATTAAAAAAATGCTTCTGTAATTTATGAGGGAAGAGAAAGAGGAACTAGACATGTTAGTTGGATGAATGTTGTGCAGATATGTGGGTTCATGTGTTTACTATTTAATCTTTAGCTTTTTGCACTTTGGTATATGCTGAGATCTGTAAGTTTGAGAAGGTTAAGAAATGCTACAGTCAGTCCTAATTAATAACATTTCTCTACATCTGATCTCTACCTTTGTGTTCTTCTCCTGTTACATGTGCTGATAGGAAATTTCATTTTGCTCAGTGTGGAAGGCATCTGTAGGGGAGGATAGTTTTGTGAGCTGATAATCTAAGGCAAAAGGAAATAGTTCATAGTTTATCAGAGGAAATGAGAAGCTGTGCTCTTTTATGGTATTTCTTTTTTTATTTACAGTGCTTTTAACTAAAAGACTACTTTAGTTAAAAAGAAACTTTCAAGATATTTGCATTTTTTACTAAAGAATAGTTGATTTACAGTATCATGTTAACTTCAAGTGTGTGGCATAGCAAGCAATTCAGTTTCATATATACATGTATATAGTCTTCAGATTTTCCTCTGTACAGGTTATTGCAAAATACTGAGTTCCCTGTGCTATACAGTAGGTCCTTGTTGATTATCTATTTTATATATAGTAGTGTGTATATGTTAATCCAAATCTCCTAATGTGTCCCTCCCCCCACCCCAAGATACTTCTATTTTAAGGACTTTTCAGGTATACTCATATTTTAACAGATTTGGGCAATGTCATTGCTGGATTTTTTTTCAGGCAATGGGTAGCAGTCACTTGCATGGATTTGCTTCTCATAATAGCATGTCCTAAAACTTATTACTAACCCAAAACAGATGACTAGCTCCATTCTTGGATATTCTGATTCTGGAGGTTTGTAGTTGTACCAGCAGTCTGTCTGCATGACGAGTTCTCCAGGTGATCCATAGGCTCAGGTTGGTGGCAGAAACACAGGTGAGACGAAGTTCCCACTCAGCTCTGCATCGTGACTGTCTGGCAAGTTAGTAGCATGCCTGCCTTGCTTTTGTGAAGTGCAAAGTATGTTCAAGTGCCGTTGCAGTAGGACAAAGTGGCCCAGGAAGCTCAGTGATAAACCTTGTGTGCCCTGTCTTCAGACGTTGTCGAGTCCCATGTACCAATGCTGGGTGCTCAGGGCTGGCCCTATAGTGGGGTTTTTGTAGTATGAAGTCAACTCAGAAATCTTTCATGTGCTTTTGACGAAACTTGCCCTTGTTCAGGCTATGGGACTCTGCTCTTCAGGACTGTGGTCAGTAGTTGTTTACAGCTATTTCATTTTAAATCAATAGACATTAAAAACTCTCTTCTTCCATTGCAGCAGTTACATTCCACGTGCTCAGAGCACTTGCTGGGTGGCACAGCTAATAGATCATTTCCCTCATCACAGCAAGTTCTTCTGGAGAGTGCTGCTATAGGAGTCTCTTCCATAACATAGCTCTTTTCTTTTTATCCTTGGTAGTTGGTATGGCTAACAGAGTTAGGTGGCAAAACTACGTTACTGTCTCAGGGAAGAGAAGGGTCTTATACTACAGGCTCTGGGTTTCCAATATCACATCAACAATACTTAATTTTCTGAAGTCAAAGTTTAACATAATATTACTTGACTATTGTCTTGTGAATCTGTTGTTTCTCTGTGCTAACTCACTATTAGAAAGATGGGCTGCATTAGAAATTTGCTTAACATGATATATGGCTTAAAAAGTCACACCACTGAAATCTCATTGAAACAAAATTGTCAATATTTAGTCAGATTATATAAACTATGTGATAGTACATATACAGCCATGAACCTTAAGTGTCTAAAAGTGATTTATGGGTGGCTGATAAATAGACTGCCCAGGTAGGTATTTTCATAAAGACTGTCATTTACCTATATTTTGCATTTTGAGAAATTTGAGGCGCGTATATTTAGCTCCCTCTTCTGGTATTTTATGAGAAAGGTATTTATATATATTTTTTGGAGTGAAAAATACAGTTATCAAATGTTGAAGGACATTATGTGTGTCACCCAATTAGATTTTTTTTCTTTTGTCATCATTTGGTAAAACATGTAAATAAAAGCGTGGAAAGAGTACTTTTGTGAAAGTATCACATGTGTTAAGCTGTTGACTGACCAAAACATGTGTAAGCCAATAAAGGCATTTCAATAGCAGGTCCATGGGGACTGGAGTGTTGGGTGGCCAGTGATCATTTGTACCTGCTTCGTGTTTGATATTAAACCCACCTTGGCATTTGTGGAGCTTGGGCCAAAACACAAAGGAGGCCCAAGCGACTTGCATCTGAATATTTGAAAATTAAAAATCACATTGACAGACGGTTTGATAAAAGCGGTTCCAGCCTCCTACGTTGACAGTTATTTCTTCACGATGACCGGGAAGCTGCATTTGAATTCAGATTTCTTGAGTTCCGAGTTCTGCCCGAGAGTGTGGTGGCATGTGAAGAGCTGGTCCACGCCTGGCTTGGCCCCGTGCCGCTGGAACCTTGCACGGCCAGGCTCCCTTCCATCCTGAGCCCGCTCCCCTCTGCCCCAGCCCATGCCTCGGGCCAGTGGGGCACGCCGGAGCAAGGTCTGCGCTGAGAAGGATGGACCTGAGGCAGAGACCCGAGAAGCCGCTGAGGCAGGGGATCTGGGCTTCTGGGGAGCCTTCTGATTGTGTCCTAGGAGAGGAGCAGCAGGTGTGTCCCCCAGGCAGGTCACTCGTGGGAAGAGGCAGCGCTGGAGCGTGGTGGCCTGAGAGGAGCCTTCTAATAGACACAGGGCCCCGAGCAGGCTCTCTCTTTCGTCCTGGCCTGAGCTTGCTGCTGTCGTGATTGCAGTCTGTGACCTCGTGTTGGGATCGTTTTCACTGCTCTTGACTGCACTGGATTACCCTCGATCAAACGTAACCGCAGGATTGTTTGTGCTTGCAGCTTCCACTCTCCCGGACCTTGCCGAGCAGTTCGCACCCCCTGACGTCGCTCCACCGCTTCTTATCAAGCTCGTGGAAGCCATTGAAAAGAAAGGTAATCCAACTGGTCAGGGACATCAGCTCACGGGTTATGGCCTGATCTTGTGGGTGTTACCATTTATATCTGTTGCGTGGATGTTCATTGAATCCACTTCCTGCCACCTGTGCTGGATACATAAGCTGTTTGTGGCAGTGACCTGGGGAGATAGTCTTGCTCTGACTTCTCACTCCATACTGATGCGTAGTTACTATATGGAAACTTTTAAATTCTCCCTGTTTTAATAAATGGAATTAACTTGTTCCTCAGTGGCCAGATGATTTTGCCAAAATTATTGATATGCCAAATAAGATGAATAGTGGGAGTTGACTTCCAAGAATGCTTGGTACACATCTAGAATAGACACTGGATGAAAACTGGAATGTCTCTCTGGCTGCAGGCTTGCAGGTTCCCCAGAGAGCTGTGTTTTGCATACTCAGTCTGTTTTGTGCCCTAGGTCTGGAATGTTCAACTCTATACAGAACACAGAGCTCCAGCAGCCCGGCTGAGTTACGACAGCTTCTCGACTGTGGTGAGTATCAGAGACCTGGAAATACACAGAGGGAAAGACGGTTCTTACCTTTGTGTTTCAGGTTAAAGCACAAAACACGAGCTTAAACGCGCAGCGTTCTTGGTTTGGAGGGAGCTCGGAAATCACGCACACTTCCATGTGTGCTCTTCTTATAAGAGGGCAGGCCTTTGATGTTTGTCTCCTAGGCAGGGTGTCTCTGCCTGTCTGCCTGCAGGTACATTGGCTGGCATCACAACCATGAGCCTCTTGGGCCTGCAGATTGCACAGGAGAGAAACATCTTGGGATTTCTCTGATTCTGCTCATCTGTCATCTTTCTCCGACCTTGCCATTGGCTACATCTAATACATCTGGACTAGTTGAAAACGTACTTATAAACCTGTCATTTAGCAAAGGTCTCTTCTGATCTTTTCCCTTCTTTTCTTTCTGTCTTCATTCCTTTCTTGCTTGCTTGTCTTTTTCATGTCATATTTTATCAAGTAAAGTGAAAGTGAAAGTCACTCAGTCATGTCCGACTCTTTGTGACCCCGTGGACTGACTATACAGTTCATGGAATTCTCCAGGCCAGAATGCTGAAGTGGGTAGCCTTTCCCTTCTCCAGGGGATCTTCCCAATCCAGGGATTGAACCCGGGTCTCCCGCATTGCAGGAGGATTCTTTACAAGCTGAGCCACATAACCACACTGTAAAGAATCTGCCTGCAATGTGGGAGACCCAGGTTTGATCCCTGAGTTGGGAAGATCTCCTGGAGAAGGAAATGGCAACCCACTCCAGTATTCTTGCCTGGAGAATTCCACAGACAGTATAGTCCATGAGGCCACAAAGAGTTGGACACAATTGAGTGACTAACGCTTTCAACATCATGATATTATTATATTTAGTAGTGTGCTGGTAAACCAATTCTTGGAGAAGTGGGGGGAAGCCCTGGTTTGTAGCATTTCCCCATTTCTGTAGTGTAAATATTCCTATGTGATTAATTTCATGTTACCAATGTGTTACCACTTGGGAAGAATTGTGAGCCAATTCAAGTCAACTCTTAGCACACCATTGGTTAAATGGCATCCATTAATTTAACCAAATGGTACCTTAACTATTAGTTCCTTCCCTCTTTGCCATACAGAATACAACTATAAAAATATAAATTTACTTGCCATCATTCCAGCAAGTCATCTTCTACATCAGCTTCTGGAATCTCTTAGACCCTTTCACTTCAGTTCAGTTGCTTAGTCGTGTCCGACTCTTTGCGACCTCATGAATCACAGCACGCCAGGCCTCTCTGTTCATCCCTAACCCCCGGAGTCTACCCAAACCCATGTCCATCGAGTCGGTGATGCCATCCAGCCATCTCATCTGTCGTCCCCTTCTCCTCCTGCCCTCAATCCTAGGGTCTTTTCCAACGAGTCAGTTCTTTGCATCAGGTGGCCAAAGTATTGGAGTTTCAGCTTCAGCATCAGTCCTTCCAATGAACACCCAGGACTGATCTCCTCTAGGATGGACTGGTTGGATCTCCTTGCAGTCCAAGGGACTCTCAAGTGTCTTCTCCAACACCACAGTTCAAAAGCATCAATTTTTTGGTGCTCAGCTTTCTTCACCATCCAACTCTCACATCCATACATGACCACTGGAAAAACCATAGCCTTGACTAGACGGACCTTTGTTGGCAAAGTAATGTCTCTGCTTTTTAATATGCTGTCTAGGTTGGTCATAACTTTGCTTCCAAGGATTACTCTTTTAATTCCATGGCTGCAGTCACCATCTGCAGTGATTTTGGAGCCCTAAAAAATAAAGTCTGACACTGTTGCCACTGTTTCCCCATCTATTTGCCATGAAGTGATGGGACCAGATGCCATGATCTTAGTTTTCTGAATGTTGAGCTTTAAGCCAACTTTTTCACTCTCCTCTTTCACTTTCATCAAGAGGCTTTTTAGTTCCTCTTCACTTTCTGCCATAAGGGTGGTGTCATCTGCATATCTGAGGTTATTGATATTTCTCCCGGCAATCTTGATTCCAGCTTGTGCTTCATCCAGCCCAGCGTTTCTCATGATGTACTCTGAATAGAAGTTAAATAAGCAGGGTGACAATATACAGCCTTGAGATACTCCTTTTCCTATTTGGAACCAGTCTGTTATTCCATGTCCAGTTCTAACTGTTGCTTCCTGACCTGCATACAGGTTTCTCAAGAGACAGGTCAGATGGTCTGGTATTCCCATCTCTTTAAGAATTTTCCAGTTTATTGTGATCCACACAGTCAAAGGCTTTATTCCCTCCCAATTCTTTTCTTTTTACTGATAATTTTTTTGCCTTGCACTGTTTTAACTGAATTTGGGTGCTTGAACCAAAAGAAGTAAAATCTAGCTTTAGAAGAAGCATTTTCAGATGTACAGTTATGTAAAGAATACCCACGTGATATTTAATAAATGAAAAAATTTGAAACATGAGGCATCTTCAAAACGAGGCAGCTTATGAAAATTTCTAGAAAAGATGTTTCTGGGAAAAAAGGGAGATTAGATCTTCATCAGTCGATAGTTTGACTTAAAACACACCACCCAAATGTTTGAAGCTTGAAAAAAATTTTTTTAACTTTCATTTTTCCTTTGTACATGGAAATCAGTCTTACACACAACACAGGGTACATCCTCCTACACATCCAGAGTAGGTCATTAGAAGTTGACTGTCAGAAAAAGCAAGGTGAAAAGCCGTGGGTTTTTTTTTTTCTAACAGCTTTACCAGAGTGTTAAGGAAACACTGAGTTTTGTCCTAGCCATCTGAACTAGAGATACATGTTTTGGTCAGAAAATTGGTCAAATTGAGCATGTTAAAAGTCACAGGAAATGTTTAGATTTCAGAGACTGATGAAATGGGGGTTATTTGAAAAAGAGTAGTTATGTTTTCAAATGTGACCAAAAACAAAATGATCCAGTTGAGCTTTTAAAAAAAATCTTCACACCACCTGTAAGATGGAATAAATAACCCAAAGTCAAGTCAACAAGATATTTTGATAGCTTTCTGCCCCATTTGAGATCAAAACACACACAGAAAACTGGTTTTCCTTGGATTCTGTGCTATAAAAGTGAATTTTGTGGCAAAACAATAAGTGTAAACATTATCTCAGTTTAGGAGTGAGGATCTCCAGGACTATTTCCAGCTTGAGGATTTGTCTATTTTAAAAAATTGTATTTTCCAGAGATTAAAAACTTATCTCTGGAGGAAGCTCAGAGATAAGTCACTTAAATTCAAAAACAAAAAGCATGGCTTTTAACTAACCCCATGAATTACCAGTGTCAGAAAAGGGTGGATGTGGGTGGAAGACAACAGCCCACTTTTGTTAGCACCCACTAAGTTACTTTATTTCATCCCCACATCAGTCTTATGTATAAAAGTTACCACTGCTTATAAAGCCATGACTTGCATCCAGATTGTTCTGACCCTAAAAGTCCTTATTCTCCCCCCCCCCCCACTGTATTGCCCTAAAATACATTGTCTTTTTAAAAATTTTAATGGTGTGAATTATTCTCCCTCTCCCCACCTTTTTGGTTTGTCTTAACCTGATTCAGGTTTTTTTCTTTAAAAGTTCTCATCACAAGAAAAAAATTTCTATGTGTGTCTCTGTGCGGATATCAACCAGACTTACTGTGGTGAAGCTTTAACAATGGTATATACAAATAAGAAATCATTACGTGATAATCACATGTCAAGATGCCTCAATTTTAAAATTCAAGCTTTTTCAGCCTCAGTGCATGGACATTTTAGGATGGATAATTCTTTGTTGTCAAAGAGCTGTTCTTAGCATTGTAGATTTCAGCAGCACTCCTGGCCTCTGCCCACTAGATGCCAGTGAGATTGTATCCTGCTTGTGACAATCAGAAATGGCTGCAAGAACTGGATGATGTCTCCTAAAGTCAGGAGTAGGGGAGAAAAATTGAGGACCCCAACTGACAACCCTTGACTCAGCTAGAGATCAGTCAGGGAGGGGACTCCATTCCAGTGGGAGAAGGGCTGCAATGTGGGAGAGGTTGCTGGTTACCTGTCAGGCGTAGACTCAGTGAAAAGCAGGTTGGAAGAGAGTGTAAATGCCCCCAACCCAGACCTGAAGACTCAGCCAGCTTCCACAGTCACCACATGGCAAGCTGGAAAAGCATGTTAGGATAGCTTTAGTATGGAAAAGGAGACTTAGAATAGAAGTCAAAAAGTCCAAGGAGCCTTAGAAGTTATCTGTAAATAAATAGAACGTACTACATCAGCTCTGGTGGAATTTGACATAAGGTGAGCTTACCTAAGGACTCGAAGTAAGGTTATTTCATTCAAAAGCTATAAAGTCTCTTTGGAATAACACCTCATGTGTTGGAGAAGGGCTTCAGTGAATTAACATCACTCTCAGGACGTTTTGTAGCTCAGCCCACAAACATTTCACAAGCACATTCTGTGCTGAGCCCTGAGGATGTGAGAAGAGCAGGTGAGAGCCACAGTCTGTGCCCTCGAGGGACGTCAGCCTAGGAGTGCCCATCAGTCTCTGGGGGGGAGAGAGAAAGAGAGAGAGATCATAATACCATAGTGGGAAGTGTCCCAATAGAGGGATGGCCTATCAGCCCTGCTTCTGCGCAGAGAAGGCAGCAGATAGCCTGCCTGAGGGAAGGACGTGGGGAATATTTAGCATCTTAAAGTTTATACCTCATTGTGAAAATGGTTTATTACCCTTTTTAGGATGAGCAAATTAAGAAATATGAATTTTCTGGGCAAAGTGATATTAAATGGAGTATACAGGTGATTTGGCTGGTGGGGGGCGGGGGCGGGGGGCGGTGGCCAGCAGCTATGGAATGCTCCAGTAGGGATGCACACACAATTTTGACAATCACACTAGTAGTTGTATTACTTTCCACATGGATCCTTTATGCAGAGACCTAGTCTTGCCCTTGCCCACACTTACTAAAGATGTGATATGTACCTGGTTTGTTCTTTGTGGGACATTTAAGTGGTTTAACCCTTTGCTTCTCCACCTTTTCATTCTTTTCCTATCCTTATTTGCTACCGGATAGATATCTCTGAGCTTTATGATATTATATGATTATCTTTCATAAGATCCACCTAGCTGGTGAGACAGGTTTGGCTTACGATGACGATGTGTTCAAGAAACTCTGGTAGCTTCCAGCTCAACCTGAGTGCTTTATAGTATCACCCTGGTTCGTGGGCATCCAGGATGCTGCTTCTGCTTCTCAAGCTGAACATCTCTAAGTGAACTTTGATTCTCTCTCATCCTCTCCTAGGCCACCACCCAGTCCCATCAGTCTCCTGGTTAGGTTACTTCTCCTAGTTACTTTCTAACTGTCTTGGAATCCAGATTACTAAAAGTGGTATCAGTACTTCCAGCAATGCTTCTTTCTGACTTATTTGAACGCCCAGTTGATAAAGCTGTTTAACAAATACCGTGTATTAATGAATATGTGTGTAGCCTAGACAAACGGTACTGATGAGCCTATTTGCAGGGCAGGAATAGACGCAGACGCAGAGAGCTGACTTGCGGCAGTGGGGGAAGGAGAGGGGGGGACAGACAGACAGTGGCACTGACGTGTGTACGCTCCCGTGTGTGAGATAACTAGTGGGAGCTGCTAATGGCAGGGCTCGGTGCTCTGCTGTGACCTCAAGGGGCAGGATGGGGGTGGGAGGGAGGCCACAAATGTATGAAAGCAAAAGCTGCTCAGTCATTTTTCGACTCTTTGCAACCCCATGGACTACACAGTCCATGGAATCCTCCAGGCCAGAATACTGGAGTGGGTAGCCTATCCCTTCTCCAGTGAATCTTCCTGACCCAGGGATCAAACCAGGGTCTCCTGCAGATTCTTCACCAACTGAGCTATCATGTATGCTTAATAGCTGATTCACGTTGTTGTAAGCAGAAACTAACACAACATTGTAAAGCAGTTACCCTCTAAAAAAAATGTTTTTAATGAAAAAATGAATAAACAAAGCTGTTTAAAGATGTAGCACTTTGCTCCTCAGCTTCACTGTTCTCCAGTGAAGAGTGCACGAGTCCCCAGATAATTGCTCTTGAGTCGTCTTGCCTGTCACTAGTGTGCATCCTTCAGCAGTGACTGTGGTCCCTCCAGCCCCCAGCACCACTTCTTCCAACTGTGTCGTATGCCTCATTCTATAGAGCAGCTGTGATTCACATCACCCCAGGGTTGAATTGCCTGACCTCTTTTCCAGCTGAAGGATTTACTGGACAGATTGCATATCTTATATTTCTTTCGAGATAGTTCAGTGCCCACAAGTTAAATTAGTGTATCCTTAATTAAAGTATCCTTAATCAGGATACTCTGTCAGTACTAGGGAGAAACATTCTAAGGATGTTCATGTTATTTTTATGGCTCTTCTTGAGATTGCTAAAATTCTATAATCGCTTGCTGTTAAATCATCTGTACTCTCTTGGGTTAAGTTGATACTGATATTGAACAACTCAAATTTTAGGAAATCTGAGGACAGGATTGCATTTCATGTTTCCAAATTGGGATTTTAGGAAGGTTTTACTATGTGCTTCAGCATCCTTAGTCAGAACCCTTCTCCACCAGGGCAGAACCCCCATCTCTAGAACATATTTGCAAATGATGTGTTGGCTGCAGTAGTTTGCCATGGCTGCCGTAACAAAATTCCATGGACTGGGTGGTTTAAAAAACAGAAGTCTGTTTTCTCACCATTCTGGAGGCTCGAAGTCCCAGCTCAGGGCAGGTTTGGCTTCTTCTTGGCTTAGAGGAGGCCACTTCCTTGCCATGTCCTCTGTGCATGCGCCTTTGGTGTGTCTGTCTAAATTCTTGCCTTTTATAATACAAGTTAAGTTGACTAGGGCTCACTCTAATGGCCCCTTTTATTTAAACACCTCTTTAAAGGCCCTGTCTCCAAATACATTCATATTTGGAGGTGCTGGGAGTTGGGGCTTCAACATAGGTTGTGGGGGACACAATTCAGCCCACAACAGAGGCACTGTTTTCTGTTGCCCCAAAGTCTGGGGATGTGTTCTGACACCATGGGCAGGGGCAGGGGCCTTCATGCTAAAATGCTTACAGTGTGGGCGACAGTCCTGCACAAGGAGAAAAGGCTCTATTCGAAATGGCAGGAGCAACCCCTGAGAGGAACACTGCTAATAAATGCTCAAGCATCTTCTGTTTGTCCTCATACTGCTTCCTTCCACATGTCACATTTAAGCTGCACATTCAGAAAAGCGCCCCAAACAATGCATAACATGTCTGATTTTTTTTTTTTTTTTTTTTTTTTTTGCACATTTCTATCATAGATGCCGCCTCCTTGGACTTGGAGATGTTCGATGTGCATGTTTTAGCTGATGCCTTCAAACGCTATCTCCTGGACTTACCGAATCCTGTCATTCCAGTAGCCGTTTTCAGTGAACTGATTTCTTTAGCCTCAGGTATGTTGTCTCTTCTGAGAGTCTCCTTGAACAAATGTGAATGGACTTGTAAACTCAAGTGCTGCAATATAAAGAGAGATTGCTTAGAAAATGTTAGTAGGATTCTGTCCCTCCCCACCCCCCCACCCATCAGCACAAACTCCCTCCCTACCAGGGCATCCAGTAGAAGACCCAGGTTCTCATTTGCTTAGGAAGGCCATCCCCATGTTGAATGGCTAATCGTGAACCTTTTGTCAGTTTTTAAGGCTTACTACATCAGAGAATGCCTCAGAGTGCTAAGTATCATCCCTGGATTCAGGGAACTGGACTGGGACTGAGGGACTGGGGATGTTGGCTTCACCTTCCTCCATTAGAACATGAGTTGAGGGAAGACTCTCCGTTTCAGGAGCTAATGCTCAGTTAAAGTGCTCTGGGGACAGGAAATTGTGGTTCGTAACCTTCAAAGTTAAAACCTGCGATACTTATCTGCTGCTCCTCGGAGTTAGCCAATCACACTCAAAGCTGGCCCACAGCAGGCAGCACACCCAGAACCTCCTGTGGTTCTGCACACCCAGAGTTTCTTGCGTTTCCATTTGACATGAGATTTCAACTTTCTTATAATGCCTTTTCTAATGAGAAGAGCAAACGTACTCTCTGCTGCTCCTGGTGCCTTTGTTTTAAACGACTCATCTGTAGCTAGAACAGAAATCTAGGTGTTTAGTCACTGATAGCTACCAACAGGCTCAGCCTTTTCCTTGCTTTTTTTGTTTTCACCCACAGAAGTGCAGAGTTCTGAAGAATACATCCAGCTGTTGAAGAAGCTCATTAGGTCACCCAGCATACCTCATCAGTACTGGCTCACACTGCAGTATTTGCTAAAACATTTCTTCAAGCTCTCTCAAACGTCCAGCAAAAATCTTTTGAATGCAAGAGTACTTTCTGAACTCTTCAGCCCTCTGCTTTTCAGATTCCCAGCAGCAAGGTAAGTGATAGAAGAGAAACCTGGATTTGGGGATGATGAGGGTAGTCCTAAGTTGATGGGTCATTAGGCTTCTTCTAAAGATATTAGTTCACAAATGCATTTGCATACTTCCATCAGACACAGTCACCTGAATGTGCAGAAATGAAAATGAGTTTGCTGTTTAGGGAACAAGGTTTCTAACAGACCTCTCTTTTTTTTGTTTTTTGTAGTTCTGAGAATACTGAACACCTCATAAAAATTATAGAAATCTTAATCTCCACCGAATGGAATGAACGCCAGCCTGCACCAGGTAATGCCTTCTGAACTTTTAAAATTTCTTCACTGTTGTTTTTTAGAGCCTGAAAAATGGTGGCTTTCAACCTCCTTTGAAGTAGCATAAGTTTCTCGTGAAATTGAGATCGATATGTTACTTAATGATTTAAAGAAAAAAAAATCTGGGTACTGCATATATAATCAGTATTATCCGGCTTTTGAAGTTTGTGGATTTTACATGAGTTTGGTTTTAGATGAGGGCTGTTGGGAGCACTCCCCCGACCCCTTCAACTTGATGCTTCTGGTTGCTGCATAAATTATGGTGTTCATTTTACTTGTTGACATTTCTGTTTTTCTTCCTAATACTTACAAAGTAGGGAGTTTATAATTACTATATAATTTAAAGTATTTTGCAATGTGGTTTTTTTTGGAATCAGGTAGGCTAAGAAATGTCTTGTCAAAATAAACATTTTTAGTAATGCAAGCAGTATGAAACTAGGGGTCAACTGCAACAAGTTAGAGCAAGCCATACGCTTCTGCGAAAGCAGCTTGGCATTCAATTAGCCTTTTAACAAAGTGGGAAATGTAGGTGGAACTAGCAGTGGATTTTATCTAAATTGATGTATTTTTCTTGTACTGTGGAAAGTCTAAACAACCTTGCTTTGCTGTATACTGGTTAAAAGTGAACTGGCCATATAGAAATAGTGATGAGGGTCCTAGAAGTGAAGTGAGAGGTTTCAGGACCAGTAATATCACTTGTAGTCTGAGTTTATGTCTTGAATTTAATTAAAACATCATGAATTTGTTGCTTATTACAAGTAACTCATGCAAATTACCAAATTCATCTCTGTATGAGCAAGCAGTGGGAACCCAGTTAATCAGTCATATATTGGTACATTATGCTGTGCTCGTGTGTGTGTGTGTGTGCATGTGCGTGTGTGCATGTGCACACAGATTTTTTTAAGGATGTTACATAGCCAGGCTTAGTTGTATCTGAATTGTATCTGGGTGGACAGAGAGGGGAAGGCCTCAACTTAAAACCCACCTAAAGGATGGGATGGGTAACCACTCATGACGCAGGTATTGGGCAGGACTTCTATGGACAGACCCAAAATATGGGATCCACAGGTGAAAGCTATAGTAGAAATAGTCCATAAGGCAAGCCTGAATGTTCCAGATCCCAGCAAGGAGGATATCCTGGATTGTAGGTCCACAGCATCGGAGAAATCTGTTAACAGGTATGGCCCAGGTGTGTAGTCCCGAGGGCTGGCCAAAAGGTTTCATCTGTGTAACTGCTCAGATCACTCGATAATGGTTAGGGAGCTCTGTGATGGTGTTCAGAGGCTTCCTTTGGGCTCAGTAGGAAATGATGCAGTGACAGGTTAGAAGTACTCTGGTGGGGATGGGCTGGTGTGAACATGGCACTAGAGCTGTTTATAGACCACCCCTTCTAGACTGATCACAAGGGTGGAGAAGAAGAGGACCAGCAAGAACAGGACAGGGCCCTGGGTCAAAGCATCAAGCTGCCTCCTTTTACTCTCTCCTGATTCATGTGGAGATCCATCTCAGAGAAAGGGGGAGGTTCCTAGTCCTCTCAGCACCCCAACCCGCTCCAGAGAAGAGGGGAAAACATAGAAGTGAAAAGCCAGACCGGGCTTGACGGAGACCCACAAACGATTTCATTCCATGAGAGTTTTAAAGCATTTGTACTGCACGGGGTATACTAGAATCAGTGATGGGAGTTTGATACTTCTGCTTCTGATGTAAAGTGGCTAAACGTCTTTCTCAGTTTCAGCCTAAATCCACCCAAGAAAAGCTTGCTCTGCAACTGTTTTTCATCACGCACTCTCAAGACTGCTTGCTATGTCATGGACCCCACCTACATCTTTCTGCTAAGAATGTAGTGTGCCAATTTCAAGGGTGGATTTGTTCCATCAGCTCTGTTGAAAATGATCGATAAAGCCTTGAACATTTACTCGACTATTCCAGAACTCATGCAGCCTCTCCCCCCCACAAATTGCATCCAATTAATTTTTAAACCCGAGTTGCAGGCATTTCCCCATTTGTGTGATATCTCGTGATTCTGGACATCATATGGAACCTTTGGAATTAACCTGTTGCTTCAGTGCCTCTCACTGGTGAAAATAGACCACCCACCCCAGGACAGTATCTCCTCATCCACACCTTTGTATTCAGGAATGGCTCCAGTGTAGATGATTGGCGGGACACCCCGGGTTAGAAAACTGACTTCTTTGGCCTGGTAGGAACGTGATGTTTTCCTGGAGTCTCCCATCATCACTCTGACACGTGCTTGTCCCATGGGGCTGGGAAGAACAGCACTGGCGCACCTCCAGGGAACAGTCATAAATCATTCATTTGCAGTAACTTTATTATCGTGAATAGAAATGAATGCCTGAATGATATTTAGGGGGTGGAGGACAAGCAAGACTGTTAATGGGGCAAATAGATACCTTTTCTAGTTGTTACCAGTTAGAACTGGAAATGAAAGGCAGAACAAATGATGTGTGAGGCACCGTGTCAATTCAGATAAGACCCGTCAGCACATAGCTTCTCATTAAATTCTAGGTGGGAGGGTGTGTACTGGAAGTATAAAAAGAATTTGGGAGATGTGATTGGTGACTTTTTAGGGTAATTGAATAGACAGAAAAAAACTCGTAGGAAAAAACACAGAACTTGAAACAGGCTTTGAAGAATAGGTACAGCTTGAAAGGGGGAAGAAGAAATAGCATTTCATTGAAAGAGTTTCAAAGATTTATTCAAAATAAATTGTAAAGGATAAAAATAATGGCTCGATATTTTTACCAGGTTTGAAAAAGCAGTAAATACTTCAAGTGACAGCATCATCCAAAGTGTCGCTTTAGAGTTGAAAGTACTGTCCAGCTCTTGGCTTGTACCTGAAGGCCACAGAGCTTGATGGTTTCACCTGGGGCCACTGCAACCAGTGTAAGCCAGGGCTGGGTCTGCAGGGGGTTCCTGGCTCAGGACACCAGCCCATAGCTCTGTCTGGTGCCTGGACTTTTGGAACCTTCCTTGGCAGCAGGGCTGCTGTTAGTGTCCACTCAAAAAGTCCTCTGAAGTTTCCAGCAAGTAATACATTAAAAATAGGTGACATTTGCGCCCATGGATCACATACAGGGAACAGCCCCAATGCAACTGTTACGGCTTTTGAGATCAGGCTCCAAGTTGCTCCGTCCTGCTTCATACATCATGCAATGGAGAGAAGAGGATGAGTCAGATAGATCTGGATGTTTGAATTCCAATTCTTGCTGCTTCCTTGCTGGCTTCATCGCCAAGACCTTCATTCAGCCTTTCCAAACTGTTTTCCAATCTGTGAGATGGGAATAATGCCTCTGTCCTGGGATGGTTATGAGAATTACATGAGGTGAGGAGGACTGAGGCTCGTGACAATATAGTTTGTCTTTAGCATCCTCATGTCAGATCTAGTGTTTGAGACCCTGCCAGAGTTGGCCTCGTTCTCAGCTGTATCTCCTCTAGCCGCCTTCCTGGTTAGTGCTGTCCAAATCCTAGCAGGCAGTGCTCCCCACTGAAGGCCTGGAGGAGATTTAACACAGATCTGAAAAGGACACTCTCTAGGCAGTCGCTGCCCCATGGGCGCACTGCTTAGAGGTCTGATGCCCTCGGCTGTGTGTGCAGCCGGGTGAGTGGAGGCGCCTGGATCTCAGGACCAGCCCTCCTCCGCCACCTGGCCCCGGTGCCCTCGACTCAGTGCACACGATGTATCGCCGTGCCCAGCAGCCCCTGACAGTGCCATCCTCTTCTTTGGCACCCAGGGAGCTTCTCCCCGCTGGATGTGCAGGTTTCCGACCCATTCAGTACATTTATGTCCTTAAGTCTTTCATCCTCATATTTAGCCGTTCAGTAGTGTTCTGTTTGTTTCATCTGCTCGGCTACATTTCTCAAGGACAAAGCCTTCTTTTCGGCTCTTCCTAGCGTAGAACTGGGCATAGCATAATGATTCTCCAAATAAAATTTTTAAAAATTCTTTGATGAAGTTCCCTATTGTCAAAGAATTCTTACACACTGACCCATTTAATGCAAGCAGCATACCTGTGAATTAAGGCTTCTGTCCTATAGGGAGGAAAACTAAGGTTTGAAAGACTAAGCACCCAGTATGTTCTTAGAACTTGGTTGACAGTTTGCTGTTCTCTTTGTTACTAAGAGTCAAAAATGGTTAAAGCGGAGCAGCAGGTTTTCTTGAATCACTTTGTGTTATGTTTACCCTACTTGATCCTTAGGTCGCTAAAGCAGATTTCTGTAGGGCAACTAAGGTAAAACAGGGGCTATTTAACTCAGGGTGCCTTTGAATGAAACCCATTATAAGTGTATTTACATATTTCAGATTTCACGGATATATTCAGAAATATTAATGTAGCATAATTGAAGTCTAATATTGCACCCTCAAGCCCAGACAGAAAATAAATGACTTTCTTTCTCCCCCTTGCCCTTCTACACCTGTCAGAGTTAATTTTTAACCACTGGTGCATTGCAAAACATTTATCCTGAAGAGCCTGATTCATAAATCTTGTTTTAAGTGCTCCGGGCTTGGTTTGCAACCAAGACTAAAGCAAGCACTAAGCCAGAGGGAAATGACTTTCAAAGAGTTTTACTTTTCTCTGATTTATTTTTTATTGGGTTTAAAATGTGGTCTGACATTAGAGGCTTGTTTCGAAGGTGAGAAATGAAACCTTGAAAAAACTGTGTGTTTAATAGATGGGTAGGAGTAAACAGGCCAGGCGTGCTAGGTTTTGACAAAAAATAGGAAGTTTATTTGTTCTCTGAACAGCAGGAGCATGTCTTGGAGGGTATGGTTCACTTTTACTTTTGTTTTCACAGTGCAGCCTTCTTTGTCCCAAGGGACAGCTGAGAGGGAAATTGTGAAGGGGCTCTTTTTTTTTTTTCCTGCTAAGCAATGGGCACACCTTTTCCGATAGTCTATAGAATGTATAACTTTGGTGCATCTGCAAACCTGAGTTTATGTATAAACTCAACTGGACC